GCCGCACTAAATCGGAGATTTGAAAAGAGTTGCTGCTGCTGCGCGACTGCGCCAGCAGCCTGAACACTCAAACCCTAAACCCTAAACCCTAAACCCTAAACCCTAAACCCTGAGCCCTGAGCCCTGAGCTGTGCAGCCTGGGTCTTATGTTCTTGACCGGAAACCCTAAACCCTAAACCCTAAACCCTAAACCCTAGGCACGCGCAGGGGAAAACAGCTGCCCTTCGCAGCAGCAAGCAGCAGCAGTAAACAGCAGCAGCAATTCTAAAGTGGAAAAGGGTAGTGACAATAGTGGCAAAGATGAGAACAAAAATAATAAAATAAATTCAAATAAATATACAATTAAAAAAAATCGCAATTATAAGAACTCGAAAGAACGCAGCAGCAGCAGCAGCAGCAGCAGCAGCAGCAGCAGTGGGTAGCAGCAGCAGTAGCATCAGTAGCAGCAGCAGTAGCAGCAGCAGGAGAAGCATCGACAGCAGCAGCAGCAGCAGCAGCAGTAGCAGCAGAAGCAGCGGCAGCAGCAACGGAGTAGCAGCGGTAGCAGCAGCGGCAGTAGAAGCAGCAGCAGCAGCAGCAGCAGCAGCAAACGCACTGCTTGGTTTCCGTCTTCGTGGCTTCCTTTTGCTGCTGCGCTGCTGCTGCAGCTCTCCGCAGCTGCTGCAGTGCTGCTGTTTTGCTTTGAATAGCAGCAGCTAAGCTGCTGGCAGTTTTGCTGCTGCTGCTGAGCTGCTGCTGCAGCAGATTCTGCTCCTGCAGCGTCCGAGCTGTACATACACCCCAGCACACGCGCCCTCTCTTTTGTCTTCTCTTTTTTTTGAGTTTTTATTTTAATTGTACTTATATTTATTATTATTCTTATTCTTATTATCACTAAAATTATTATTATTATTATTATTATTATTATTATTATTACTCTTATTATTATTATTATTATTGGTGTTATTATTGTTATTGTTATTGTTATTGTTATTGTTATTATTATTATTATTGCTATTTCTATTATTATTATTATTATTATTATTATTATTATTAATATTATGATTATTATTAGTATTATTAGTATTATTGTTAGAACTGCAAGAACTGTCCTTTGCTTACAGCAAATCCTTTTCTTAGCTGCCACATCATTTTTGGCCTCTTCCAATTTATCAGCAAACAATTTATTTTCTATTTTCAATTGATGCAAATCAATATGCTGCAGCCCGCTGTTGGGGCCCCCGAGGGCCCCCAGGGGGCCCCCCAGGGGGCCCCCCGGGGGGCCCCCCAGGGGGCCCCCCAGGGGGCCCCCCAGGGAGCGCCCCAGGGGGCCCCTGGGGAGGCCCTCCTTGGGGCCCCACACGGGGGGCCCCCCGGGGGCCCCCCGGCGGCCTGCAGCTTTGGACTTGAGAAGTTTATTTTCGATTTTTTTTTCTTTTTTTTGCAAATTGAGAATTCGAGTTTGCAGCCAAGACAAAAGGGCCTCCCCACTTGTGAGTCCCGAGGGGATTTGTTCTCCAGCCAACAAAATGTCTCTTCGAAATTCAAAAGCATCTCTTCGCAGCTGCAGAAAAAGTGGAAATCTTTGCAGCTTTTTTGCATCTCTTTTTGGCTTTTTGAGTTTTATTTCAGTTTTTTTTAAGTCCTTTACTCTCAATTGGTGTTTACTTGCTTTTTGAGTTTTATTTCAGTTTTTTTTCAAGTTCTTTTACTCTCAATTGGTGTTTATTTGCTTTTGTTTTTATTTTTTCTTTTTTTCAAGTTCTTTTACTCTCAATTGGTGTTCATTTGCTTTTGTTTTTATTTTCTTTTTTTTTAAGACGCTCGCGGCTCTCTTTCAGTTTCAAAAAAGCTTTTTGCAATTTTTTTAATTTCAGTTTTGGGAATTTCTTTTTCCAAATTAAATAATTTATTTTCTCCATTTTAATTGCTATTCCTTTTATTCTTTTATTTCCTTTTAACTCTTTTATTTGATCTTTTTGGCCTTTTCATCGCATGAAACTGCTTATTTCAAAGTCCACTTTATTGATTTACTTCCGGGAAATTAAAAATAATTGTTTAATTATTTATTTAATTATTTATTTAAATCAAATAATTCAAAAATTATTTTAAAATTAATTTTTTTTGGCGCCGCTGAGGCACCTCAAGGCTGCACCTCCGCTGCCTCGAGTTCTCCGTTTTTTATCGTTTCCTGAAGGCACAAAACCTAAACCCTAAACCCTAAACCCTAAACCCTAAACCCTAAACCCTAAACCCTTATATAGGGTTTCGCGCTGCGGAGTCGCCGCAGCAGCAGCTGGGGCGGTCCAACGCACAAAATGGACATATGCAAAAACTTAGTTAGGGAAAGATAAACTTGGCTTTAAACATTAAAGTTGAATTTAAGTAAAATAAAATAAAATAAAATAAAATAAAATAAAATAAAATAAAATAAATTAAAATCCAATCAACAAACCTTCAGCAGCCGCTGCGCGCCGCTGATCTGCAGCTGCAGCTGCAGCATTTCCGTTTTTGTCTTTTTGCTTTCTTTGGAAAGAAGTGCATGTCTTGTTTCCAAAGAAATGCCACTAGCAGCAACAATGGAGAGCCGCTGCTGCTGCTGCTGCTGCTGCTGCTGCTGCTGCTGCTGCTGCTGCTGCTGCTGCTGGTGCGGGGGCTCGTTGCGCTTCTCCTGCAGCAGCGACAGCAGCGCCCGCTGCAGCGCCTGCGTCTCCAGTGCTGTCAGTTCTGTGCGGCGCTGCAGCAGCAAAAAGGGTTTGAAGCAGCAGCAGCAGCAGCAGCAGCAGCAGCAAGAGCAGCAGAAGCAGCAGCAAAGCCTAAACCCCGAACCCTAGACCCTAAACCCTTGTTTTTTACTTGGAGGCCTTTGTGTTGTGAAACCCTCTTTGCAGAACTAATAATAAGGCCTTTAAGTGAAAGCGAGGGTTTAGGGTTTAGGGTTTAGGGTTTAGGAAGCTCTAAATGGCTGCAACAAATAGAAAAAAGATTTAAAAACAAATAATATTTATTTGTCCTTAAAAATATAAAAATAGTTTTTATTTTTTCTGTTTTCGGTTTTTCAGCATTAGGGTTCTCCAGGCTAAAATGCAGTGTATGTACACTGCAGCTGCGCATGCATTTGTTTACATTTTAATTTTTGTTTTTTAAAATGAAATAAAACAGATTTTAAATAATCAGTTTTATCTTTTTTGAATTAAATTAAAATGATTTTGAATCGATAGAGCTGCAGGCCAATAGTTGAACTTCTCTGGGGTGTACATACACTGCGCGCCTCTACTTGTGGATTTATTTTTAATTCCACTATTTATTTATTTTACTTTTTATTTATTTTTTATTTATTTTTTATTTATTAATTGCATATATATTTATTTATTATTTATTTATTTTCTTGGCTTTTGTTTTCCTTCTTTTGCACAACTATTTGTTCAACTGAATAAAAGCATTTAAATCTTTTTCTTTATTTGTTTGCTGCCTTCAAACTTTTATTTTCTTTTTATTAATTCATTTTTAAATCTTTATTTCTCTTTATTAATTTTTAAAAATATATATTTCTTTTTATTAATTTATTTTTTAAATCTTCATTTCCTTTCTACTGCTGCTCTCCGCCACCCCAATATCTTCTTCACTTCTGCTGCCCCCCAATTCTATTTTCTTTTTTAATTATTTAATTATTTTTATTTTTAATTTTAATTTTATTTTTGTTTTTTATTTCCTTTTATTTGTTCTGTTCTTTCTGTCACCTTTATGTCTCGAATTTCTTTCGCCTTTCTTTCATTTGTTTCTTTTAGGGTTTTGAGTTGGGCTGATAAATCCGCGTCAGAGCCTGCGAAGTTCGAAAACCCCTGGGCCGCCGTTTCCGCCATTTTAGGGTTTAGGGTTTAGGGTTTAGGGTTTAGGGTTTGGGCTTCCTCCGCCTTGGGGCTGGCGGCAATTGGCTATATTCAACAGATTTTCCTCCAAAATATAAAATATTGCCTTTCAACAATTGAAAACTTCGAGCGCTTAAAACTCACGGCTCATAGTTTAGGGTTTAGGGTTTAGGGTTTAGGGTTTAGGGTTTACAGCTACGAGCATGTAGCTGTCTTCGGCTGAAGCTCAAAGGCCGCGCATGCAGCCCCGTGGTGCTCGTAAATGCATTCTAAGGGCTTTAAAAATAAATCAAATGATAAATATAAATAGAATTTAAAAATAAATAAATAAATCTATAAATTATTTAATTAACTTTGCCACTAAACAACCCCAGGAGCAGACGCAGTGGCTCTAGCGCCTTGATCCGCAACCCCCCGTGCAGGTCACCCAGCTCCAAACCCTAAACCCTAAACCCTAAACCCTAAACTAAACCCTAGACAGCATTCAAAAATATCTTCAAAAGCTTTAAAAAGTTTAATTTGAGTTAATTTCAATGCAACAACTCAATTATAAATATGATTAACTGCAAATGCGTTTCGCGGAAGATGCACGGACTGAGGTGTAGGTACACCCCGCGGGTCGTCCGTGGCGTGAATGAATGAAATGAATTAATTCATTTAATTATTTACCTTTTTTAAATTTAAATTTTTTTTTTTTAATTTTAAAATTTATTTCTTTGTTTTTGGGTTCCGTGTGCATGCACGCAGTGTCTCGACACCTCTGCGCGCAGCGTGGCCGAGAGCAGCTTCAGCCCCATTTGCATTTCATTAAATTGATTGCAAATTGTTTTAAGTTTAAATTTAAATTTAATTAATTTTAAATGAATAAAAATTGCTTTTCATTTGAACTTCAACGATTTTAAATGAAGTTCTAATTCCCTGGACTCGTGCAGTCCAGTCCCGCGAAGAAGCCAACAAAAACCCCAGTGCCAAACCCTAAACCCTAAACCCTAAACCCTAAACCCTAAACCCTAAACCCTATTCCAGCGAAGAGCAGCCCCGCCCTGCAGCCGTGCGGGCCGTTGAGCCTCCCAGGCAACTCTTGAGCACCTGGATGCCGAAACCCGAACCCAAACCCTAAACCCTAAACCCTAAACCCTAAACCCTAAACCCTCATTCGAGGCGCTTGGCCCTGGCGAAGAGAAACTGGGCCAAGTAGCTCACGGGGTCCTCCGGCAAAACCCTCGAAACCTCCAGCAAACCCTCAGATAGTGCTGGAGCCACGTGCTGCAGCAAATACTTTCTAAGAGGCACAGAGCGCAGCAGCAGCAGCTGCTGCTCATGTTCAGCAATTCTGCGCATGCGCTGCAGGTCTCGCTCGCGCTGCTGCTGCAGCTGGCGGGCGGCCTGCTGCTGCTGCTGCTGCTGCTGCTCCGCCTCCCGCTGCCGCTGCTCCGCCTCCCGCTGCTGCAGCAGCAGCTCCTGCTGCTGCAGCAAAGAGTCCGGAGTTAATAAAAAGTTTTTTATTTCTCCAAATCGAGAAATGTAAATCACAATTGAACTCAACAGCTCCTCCACACTCCGCCCGTCCGTGGGCAGCGTCAGCACTTCCACGCCTCTTTCCTATAAATAAATAATAAATAAATAAACAAATAAACAAACAAATAAATAAATAAATAAATAAATAAATAAATAAATAAATAAATAAATAAATAAATAAATAAATAAATAAATAAATAAATAAGTGGTGATGAGTCAGTGAGTTCCCTTCTTAGGAGTCAGTCTATTAGCGCTTCGACCGGCGCCGCAGGTCCGCTAGGGTTTAGGGTTTAGGGTTTAGGGTTTAGGGTTTAGGGTTTAGGGTTTAGGGTTTGGGCACTTGGAAGAAGTCGACGAGTTTGGGCCTGCCTTCTGTGGACTCGTTGAGTTGCGTGTAAATCTGCATGCGTCTTTTGAATCCATCTCTGTCATTATGAGCAGCAGCAACAGCAGCAGGAGGCAGCAGCATCAGCCGCTGCTCCAGCGTGTCTGCTGCAGCAGCAAGCAGCACGACGAAGTCCGGGGTCAGCCGCGGGTCTGCGCCAGCAGCAAGCTGCTGCTCTCCTGCTGCTGCTGCTGCTGCTGCTGCTGCTCCCGCTGCTGCTGCGCCTGCGGGCCCCCCGGGCTCCTGGCCGCCGCCGCCGCTGCTGCTGCCGCTGCTGCTGCTGCTGCTGCTGCTGCTGCTGCTGCTGCTGCTGCTGTCTGCTTCCGGGCCTGCTTCTCGCTTGGGATGCAGGAACAGAGACATGCATTCTGCGTAGCTGCGGGGGTAGCCGTCCAACACAAAGCCTCTGTATCTGCATGCGTTTTGTTCCAACTTGTTTACGAAAAAGCTGCTGAGGGTTTCCGAGTCGAATCTGTTTTTCTTTGCTGCTGCTTTCTTGCCCTTCTTCTTGGGCTCCTCAGCTGCTGCTGCTGCTGCTGCGGCTGTTCCCGCTGCTGCTGCTGCGGCCGTTCCCGCTGCTGCTGCTGCGGCCCCCCCCGCTGCTGCTGCTGGGCCTGCTGCTGCAGCAGCAGCAGCAGAGTCAAGTTCTGCTGCTCGAGCTGCTTCCACCACCTCAGCTGTCTTTATAAGAGGTATGTTGTAGTAAGACGCCAGCCGCTCGCTGATGGTGCTCTTGCCGCTGCCCGGGGGCCCTGAGGGTTGGAAGCAGCACGAAAGGCCCGCTTAAATGGGAAAAAAGAGTGAAATAAATAAAAATAAATAAAATTGAATTAAAACAAATTAGAATAATTCAAAAATAAATCAAAAATTGCGAAAAAATTGCACAAACTGCCCGTCCAGTGACCCGCTGGTCTTCGGCGGCGGCTCAGCCGCTCCGGGTGACCGCGGCGAAAAGGCTTCATTTTGTGGCTCTTGCGAGTTAAAAAAGTTTGAAATAAATTTAATTTTATAAATATATTTGAATTAAAAGTGTTAATTAAATGATAAGGTGGAAATGGAGGCGCGCGAGCTTCGGTGGCGAGCAAGGCGCTCAGGTGTACGTACAGCGCGCGGCAACGGCGGCCCGCCGGCGGCGCGCGCTGGGAGGCGCGGAAGGCCAAAAGCGGCGAAAAAGTGGCAAAAAAGGAAATAAAAGGAAATAAAAAGGAAATAAAAAGGAAAAGGAGAAATAAAAATGAAAAGACTGACCCGTGATGAGGATTTTGAGCTGCCTGAGGTCCCTGGACTGGCAGAACTCCGCAGCCACCAGCTTGATGGACTTCACCAGCCCCGCCTTTGCATGCCACGGAAAGCCAGCAGCAGCAGACATTAGGGGGGACATTTCGAAAGCCAAGTCATATTTGAAGAGTTCTGGGACTGCAGCCAAGGCTGCCTCCTCTTGGGAGACCTGCGGGATCGATCCCGGGATCGATCCCGGAGGCGATCCCAGAGGCGATCCCAGCTCCCCCACGATCGCCTCCAGGATCTCCCGCTGACTCACCAAACTCGAGTCCACACAAATGTGGTAATAAACACCAACCCCACCCTCGGGCTCCAGCGCCACGGCCCGCACCAGGCTGCACAGGTCTTCCACGTGCACGCACGGCACCAAGTTGCTGCCCTCCCCTGCAGCAGCAGCAGCAGCAGCAGCAGCAGCAGCAGCAGCAGCAGCAGCAGCAGCGGACTGCGTTCTGGGGGCTGCAGGCCTGC